AAACTATAAATGTTACAAACACAAATGACAAAGAGATTAATAAGGAATCGTTTTCCCTCTAACATCCAAAGTCAGGCCTCCTTTCCTGTGCTTAGGGACAGATAACACACTTGGGAAAGTGACTAGCCCTGGTGGCCATTGATCTCACCAGGGAAGACCATGTTGAATATCACAGACTTCAGATGGTCAAAAGTAAAGTCAGTGCCTGACAACCAAATAGAAATGTCCCTGTAGAGACCATTGTCACAGGGAGTTGGAGAAATTCAGAGGTGATCTCCATGAGAAAATAACTATTTAACCAAAAATTTAAAATAATTCCCACTCTCGCCGGGCGGTGGTGGCGCACGCCTTTAATCCCAGCACTCAGGAGGCAGAGGCAGGCGGATCGCTGTGAGTTCAAGGCCAGCCTGGGCTACCAAGTGAGTCCCAGGAAAGGCGCAAAGCTACACAGAGAAACCCTGTCTCGAAAAACCAAAAAAATAAAAAAATAAAAAAATAAAAAATAAATAAAAAAAAATAATTCCCACTCTCTCTTTAATAGTCATGGTATCTGGGAGGTGGTGCAGAAGATTGGGAACACGGGGAACTTCTGGGTGTTGTGTTATAACCATCATCAATGTCCCCAGGTATGCCCTAACACTGCACATGTATACATGCCTAGATACACACAACTTCTCATCAATGTTTCCTTCTCAACACACAGGTTTTACTCCACCCATAACATCTATTCCCGGGCAGTACACTGTGTGTGAAACATGGCTGCCATATGAAAAAATAGGGTAGACACGAACAAGGTCATAGGGTTGTTTTTATTTTAGATGTGTGGTTGTGCTGTTTACAACTCTCTATCAAGAGGCCCTGCATGACCACATATGTGTTTGTATGTGGTTGTGCATGGTATGTGTGAATTAGTGTGTGGTGTGTGAGTCTGAGGGTAGTGGTGGTGCTGTGTGTGTGTATGTGTGTGGGTATGTGTGTTTGTGACTAAGTTGTGGGATGAGAATGAGTGTGACATGTGCCCAGGTATATGACCCAACAACTCAACTCCTTGCTGGTGAGATTAGAGAACAAGAATGTATTTAAGTACAGTCAGCACAGTCTTGTTCACAAAAATAAAAGTGGGTAAGCTAGTATATATCACTAATGATCACTGAAAACATGAGGACAATCAATGAAAATACTGTAATGTTATCTGCCATTGTCCATGGCATATTACAGCATATGACAACTAATAACTCAGATGTCAACCCATCAGACCAATAACTCTCTGAGGGAGAAACCTGTTTCAAGCAAGGTTTACGGGGCCATTGACTGTGAAAACTGGTTCCTTCTGTCTGTCATTTGACATATGAAAAAACAGCTGTGGAATCTCCCTATTACCGTGCATTTTCATCTAATGTGTACCTGTACTCTCATGATTACATCTCAACCTAATGGTTATTTGTTCTGTAGACTGTCTAAAGATAATTTCTTCTTAAGCTGTATAACTTTGATGAACAGAAATAATACCAGGATATTTTTCATAGCTCAGGCTGACATAGGAAAATAGTATTCTCAGCTACAAAGACAGGTTTTTACACAATTAGCTGATTTAAGACCTCAGAGCAAATTCAAAGTAGACTATTTGCCCCCTGCAAATAAATGGCAAAAGGACAGATTCCCAGGTGTCTTGTTTGAACCAAGGTCAGGCATAAAGCAACTTTGCTGCCAGTTCCCCAGTAGCTCAACTCTGGCTGATAACATTAAAGACATAACTCCCTGCAGAAATTGTCTCAGCATCTGACTCCTAGATGCACGAACTCCTAATCTAAGTTTTATGAAGCAAGAGTAAAAGTTCAACTAATTTGTTTAGGTCTTGGGGTACTTTTAATGTCACTGTCCCTCCAGAAACTGGGGAGCAATTGAGCACTACAGGCCTTCTGCCTGTTCACCAGGGATCTTGGCTGACAGTCATTCCCAGTCATGCTGGCTGCCTGGTCAGTCAGCATAACATTCCAAGTCCTAGAGTAACCCTGTGATTTCACGTGTGTTATCAGAATGGCTCTGCTTCTTATTGTATTCTCAAAAAATGCAATGTGACCCTCAAAATGTAACTTATACACTATCCAGGGCTTTCTGTTGGGTATATATATACCAATTGGAAAGGAAGAAGTCAAACGCTCTTTATTTGCAGATGATATGATAGTGTACATAAGTGACCCTAAAAATTCCACCAGGGAACACTTACAGCTGAATAACACATCCAGCAAAGGAGCTGATACACAAACAACTCAGAAAAATCAATAGTCCTGTTGTATATAATTGACAAACAGACTGAGAAAGAAATCAGTGGAACAGCTAGCTCCCTTCAAAATACCCTCAAACAATATAAAATGTCTTGTGGATAATTCCAACCAATGAAATGAATGACTGATATGATAAAAACTTCAAGTCTTTGAAGAAACAAACTAAAGAAAATAACAAATGGAAAGACCTCCCATGCTCAGGGATTTGTAGGATTAACACAGTAAAATGACTATCCTACCAGAAGCAATCTCCTGATTCAATGAAATACCCATTAAAATTATAAAAACAATTCTTCCCAGACCTTGAAAGGACAATTCGCAACTTCATATGGAAACACACACACACACACACACACACACACACACACACACACACACACACACACATACAAAAAAAACAAAACAAAACAGGATAGTCCTGAACAACAATAGAACTACAAGAGCTCTTACCATTCTTGATCACAAATTATACTACAAAGCCATTGTAAGAAAAACAACCTGGTATTTGTTTTAAAAAAATAGACATATTGATCAGTGAAACCAAATTGAAGATCTGGACATAAAACCACAAACCCATAAACATCAGGATTTGATAAATAAGCCATAAATACACACTGAAAAAAATTTCACAGTATCATCCAGACATTGTGCATGTAGAATAATGCAAATAGATTCATACCTATAACCCTGCACTAAACTCAACTCCAAATGAATGAAAGACTTCAACATAAAAGGAGATATATTGGACCTCCTAGAAGAGAAAGTGGAGAATAGCCTTGAGTACCTTGGCTCAGGAACAGACTTCCTGAACAGAATCTAGTGCAGTGCAGTTTATACTTCCTGTAATATATGAAGGTAATCCTAAAGAAGTATCCAAATAATGAGGGAGAGGGAACCTCTACTGGCCATATCTTGTTATGAAACTAAGGTTTCTTTTTGGGAAGGATGCCAATCCAATTCAGTTGTTAGTCAAAGGGGTCCCATGGAAATTCCCAAACAACCCAGGCTGTTGCCAAGACAATAGGTTGATCTCCACAAACTTCCAAGACCCCATTGCTGAAGACAACACCTGCACTACTCATTGAACATGGAGAGGTTGAGCTGGTGCCTATATCAAACCTTCAAACCATGTTTTTGTGTCTATGACATGGAAACGTCTTCAAGCTACAAAAAGAGAACAAGAAACACCAACCCAACAACAAATACTTTGCCTTATAATCTGTCTTGCGTGCAAAACACACCAGGGCAATGGAGACACAAACCTTGTGGGAGTAACCAACCGATGTTTGATTTGAATTAAAGCCCACATCATGAATGGAACCCATACCTGACACTGATTGGGTGACCAAGAACCAGAGTCTATAAGTCCATACAGCTAGGAATAAATCAAATACTCCTGTTCTTAAGGGGGAAAGTAACAAGTAAATGACTCAAAATGATATTCTGCTATACTTATGGATCAGTGCCTTAGTCAGCCATCATCAGAAATATTTTGCTGGGGCCTCATGTAACAGATGGGAACAAGTACAGAGACACACAGAAAGACATTACATAGAGAGACCTTGGAGCACACAGCTCTAAATGAGACAGCTCTGTCATATCCCTCCCCTCAGAGCTCAATGAACTCCAAAGAAGAGAGGCAGGAAGAAATAGGGAGAAAGAAGGGATGGAGGACACCCTGAGAACAAGGTCCTCTAAAACAACTCAGCAATGCTCATAGGAACTCACAGAGACTGAAGCAGTATGCACAGGGCCTGCATGGGTCTGCACCAGGCCCTCTGAATATACACCATAGCTTTCCGTTTAGTACTTTTATGGGACTCCTGAATGTGTTAAGTGAGTCTCTGATTCTTGTGACTTCCTTTCATGATCTTCTTTCTCTGTTGACTTATCTTGACCAGTTTTTATATAGTGGTTTTTGTTTTACTTATTATATTTTATTTTGTTATAAAACAAATGTACCTTCCTTGCATCCTATACATATCAATAATTTTGCAATTTGGAAAAACTACATATGCACTCATATAGAGCAACTGATAAATAATGCGGTCTGCTTCATGGCTTGATGTGTATGTAAACATCTCCAAAGAATAGTAAAATGTAGCTTCAAGGGTTTGTGTGTGTGTGTGTGTGTGTGTGTGTGTGTGTGTGTGTGTGTGTGTATGTGTGTGTGTGTGTGTGTGTGTGTGTGTGTGTGTGTGTGTGTGTGTGTGTGTCTTTTCAAATATCTTTCCTAAGTTAGCATACAAATTATTTGGCAGCATTATGGCATTTTTCAGACATGGTGTATTTTCTCCTTTTTACTCCATTCTCTTTTTAGCCAGCCTTACACTCCATATGTTCTCTTCCTACCCCGAATATCCCCCTCTCTGTTTTCATGTGACATGTCTATCAGGACCATTTTATTCCTCCTCAGCAAAGTTTTCTTTGTCCCCTCTCCTTTCTAATGTAATGATCCTGACCTACACACACAAATAGGAAGGCACACATATATATTTAAATTTAGATTGTATCTTGGAAGGTATATGCAATTATGTCAAGGTGTACACATGCATATCAATAGGGAAAACTCTATAGATTTTTTCTAATTAGTGAATTGTCACAAAACAATTCTATAACCAGGAAAAAATTACATATTATATATGCAGTGATATCAAAGGTAAATCACAACTCAGTAAAGAATATTCTTTTAATGGCCTAAACCCAGGCCTCTCTTCATGTGCTAAAGAAGAGACAACATACCTTCAAAAGTGGCTTTCTTTGTTGGCAGTTGATTCCACCAATGAAGACCATGTTGGGCATCACAGGTCTGGGGAAATCTAACACAAAGTCTGTGCGTAACAACCAAATGGACACTTGGCTGAAGAGGTTATCCATACTCACTGGGGTCTGGAGAACTTCAGAGGCAATGTCTGTAGCAGTTTTGAACAAGTAGTGGCAAAATGCACGCTCTTCCATGTAGAAAACAGTGTTTGACACTCTCTCCATGAAAGTCATGGTGTCTGTGAATTTGGAGAAGAGTCTCGGAACATAAGACAGTGGACTGGGGCACTGTGTGCCCTCTTCAAAATGGTGGCAAAAGAAATACCTTGAAAAGACCACTGAAGGGAGTGACAAATACTTGGCCACAGTTAAACCGCACACCTCAAAAGGATCCAGAAACACAGCATCAAAAGAACTCTGCTTCAAGAACTCCACTAACTTCTTGTCGTGAAACAAACTCCTACAGTGTGAAGACATTAATTCGAAAAACACTTTGCCTGAGCCTGTTATTACAGAAAGTATATGTTGTTCTGGAGTTATCCATTGAGAGTCAGAAATAAACTGGAACTTATGATTGAATTCCTCCAGAGTATAAGAAGTTGAATATGTCTTCACTGTCAAATTCAGGGATTTTCCCAGTTGCCAACTCACCTCTGGCACAACTGTCACCACCTCATGCCCCCTGTGGATGAGTTTCTCCACAACCATCTGCATGGTGAACCAGTGGCTCCCATCCATGGGCACCACCAGCAGCCTGCCTGCCTGGGCAAAGTCAGAGGCCAGCAGCAGACACACACACAGAGGAAGGGAGGCTGGGAGATCTGCAGGAGCCATGGGAGAAGTGGAGCCCGGGACAATCCAGCTGCTGAGAATCTCAGCTCCTCTAATAGAACTGGTTGAGAAGAGGACAGTGGACTTCTCAGTGGACACATGTATTTGTATGTTTCCAAGTGAGGTTAAATTTAGTGCTAATGATTTACTCAAAAGAACAATAATTAATGAACTTCATTGGCTGAAATGACTACTTTTGTGCCTTCCAGATTAAAAAAAAAAACATTTATGACTTTGTTTCAGAAAGATCATGACCTCTATTGCAGACCCAGTTTTGAAGAATTACCAAACAATATGTTTTGACTTTTAAATTCAGAAAAATTAAGAAGCTGCCTATAAGGATCCTCTACATTCATCACATGCTCATTTATCCTTCATAAGAAGGAAAACTAAGAAGGATGGACAGTGAAAGTCACCAAGAAGAGGTAGATAGAGAAACCTAGAGGTCACAGAAAAGCTGAGCCCTGCCTAAAGAGCACATTATGGTACATAGGACAGGCCAGGGTCAAATCAATTGTATATTGCAGTGATTTTATGGGTCTGAGAGTTCAGGAGTCTTGACTGACAGGCACTGAGCCTTGGGACTCTGCCCTGCTGTAGGACTCCAGTGAACCAATAATGCACAGCCACTGTCCCTGCCAAAATGGAAACATTCTCTGTGTTAGATCAGTTTCTGATATTTCAGCAACCTTTCTAATACAAGATGACGTCCTTTCTGAGCCTGGCCTTTAGACAGACATCCAGACAGAAGACAGAAGATGAAGAGCTGAGCCTCTGAAAGCGTGTTGCCTCCAACGACGATAATCAGATTAAGTTACTCCAGCCACAATGGCCAGGGGCTCTGCTTTCCTACGAACAAAGGGATCAGAACTTAGGACTTCCACCTTTCACCACACTTCCAGAAAGGGGCTGATGTTGGACCTAGTCCTGGTATTAAATAATGAGTCAGGACACGACAGTGTATCCAGTGAGTTTGTAAACAATCCCTTAACCACTTACTGTTTCTGACAAACACTAGTCAAGGGAACCATTCGACTTGGGTCTACATCAGTGATGCCCAGAGTCTGTTCTCCACATACAATGTAGGCACAGTGTTCCAGCATAACCTGCAGGCACCAGACATCGTGACTTCTGTGAGACTCTCAGAGCAGGGTTATGACGGTTTAACCAGATATTGTAAGTTTTCTGGTGTTAACTTTTCTATACCATCACGCATCATCTTGAAGCTAATTTCTCTGTGTGGTGTAAAGGTATAATTTTATGTCTTTTCTTGTGTAGAAACAGGCTGACATTTCTGTACCTCTCTCGTGCTACACCCACAAATCACACAGCACAGCAACAGACGGGGTGAGTGTCCCAGGCCTATGATGTCAATAAGAAAAAGAGAAACCAGAGGCACTCGTAAACTTTTCCTAGCCTTCAAGACCCTTTCCAGAAGGTCCTCTTTGGGAAGTAGAGTGGTAATGGCTTAATGATTCCACCTGGGGGAGGACATAAACAAAAAGGCAGTGACCACAGGGACCAGCCTCTGTGTCTCAGTGGTATCTCAGTGTGGCTGCCACATATGCCAACTCCACAGACCATCCCTGAAGCTGAGCTGATTGCCTTCTCTATCAGGAGAGGAGGTTCAAAACTACCTGGAGTCCTTGAACTGTTTCTTCTAGCCCAACTTCTGAGTTACTCTACTAAGCCCTCCCAAATAGGAGAAGTCCCACTCAACCAATTCCAGAAATATGTTGGAGCTAGTAATGCTTGGTCTAGGAAGCCGATAGTGGCTTCATTTATCCATGAAAGATGACCCAGCAACATGGTCTGGCATGTAGGTATCCAACTCTGTGGACCTCAGATGAGCAAAGTTTGGTTCTTTTAAGAAGGCAAATGGATCTCTGCATCCAGATCCCTCAGTAGTTGGATGAGGTTTCTAGCACAACAATTAGGGTGTTTGGCCATCCCATCACCAGAGTAGGTCAGTTCGGGCTGTCTCTCGACCATTGCCGGCAGTCTGTTGTGTGGGTATCTTTGTGGATTTCTGTGGGCCTCTCTAGCACTTTGCTTCTTCCTGTTCTCATGTGGTCTTCATTTACCATGGTCTCCTATTCCTTGTTCTCCCTCTCTGTTGTTGATCCAGCTGGGATCTCCCGCTCCCCCAAGCTCTCTTTCCCTCGACCCTCGCCTTTCAATACCCCCACTCATGTCCAGGCTGTTCATGTAGATCTCATTCCATTTCTCTGTCATTGGGCGATCCCTGTGTCTTTCTTGGGGTCCTGTTTTCCGGGTAGCCTCCCTGGTGATGTGAGTAGCAGACAATTCATCCTTGTTTCATGTCTAGTATCCTGCTATGAGTGAGTACATACCATGTTTGTCTTTCTGAGTCTGGGTTACCTCACTCAGGATGATTTTTTCTAGATCCATCCATTTGTCTGCAAACCTCATGATGCCATTGTTTTTTTCTGCTGAGTAGTATTCCATTGTGTATATGTACCACATTTTGTTTATCCATTCTTCAGTTGAAGGGCATCTGGGTTGTTTCCATGTTCTGGCTATTACAAACAATGCTGATATGAACATAGCTGAACAAGTGCTCTTATGGTGTGGTTGAGCATTCCTTGGGTATATGCCCAAGAGTGGTATAGCTGGATCTTGGGGGAGATTGATTCCCAATTTTCTAAGAAAGCGCCATATTGATTTCCAAAGTGGTTGTACAAGCTTGCATTCCCACCAGCAGTGGAGGAGAGTTCCCCTAGCTCCACATCCTCTCCAGCCAACTACTGAGGGATCTGGATGCAGAGATCCATGACTAGGCCCTGGGTGGATCTCTGGGAGTCCAATTAACGAGAATGAGGAGGGTTTATATGAGCGAGAATTGTTGAGACCAAGGTTGGATAAAGCACAGGGACAAATAGCCAAATGAATGGAAACACATGAACTATGAACCAATGGCTGAGGGGTCCACACTGGATCAGGCCCCCCGAATGGGTGAGACAGTTGATTGGCTTGATCTGTTTGGGAGGCATCCAGGCAGTGGGACCAGATCTTGTGCTCATTGCATGAGTTGGCTGTTTGAAACCTGGGGCCTATGCAGGATTGTTTGGCTCGGCCTGGGAGGAGGGGACTAGACCTACCTGGACTGAGTCTACCAGGTTGACCTCAGTCTGTGGGGAAGGCTTTGCCCTGGAGGAGATGGGAATGGGGGGGGGGCGTTGGGGGGAAGGTGAGGGGGACGGGAGGGGGGGAGAACAAGGGAATCCGTGACCGATATGTAGAACTGAATTGTATTGCAAAATAAATTAAAATAAATTTAAAAAAAAAAAAAAAAGAAGGCAAATGGAAGCAGAACTCTGAAAAAATTTTAAAAGTGGGCATGGGAGCTAGAGCGATGGCTCAGTTGTTGGAAGCACTGGCTGCTCTTTCAGAGGACCCAGGTTCAATTCCCAGTACCTACCTGGTAGCTCACACCTGTATGTAAATCCAATTCCAGGGTTTCTGAAACCCTCACACAGACATACATGCAGGGAAAACACCAATAACATAAAACAAAAATAATTTATTTAAAAATATACTAGCCATGATCATCACACTAAGAGACTGCCACCTCCATGGATCCTATTAGTAAAAACAAAAACAAAAAAAAACAGCTATAATAATCTAGAAAAGAGTTGGCCAATAACTCATTCTGGAATCAGAGCCTCCCTCCTTCCCAGGTTCCAGAACTGGAGGAGTTAGTCCTGCTTGTCTGGGGAAGTCAAGCAGTGGGTCCCGTCAACTTGAAAGGTTGTGCAACAGCTCCAGCCTGACAGCTAAATTCCACTTCTGCATACTGTGGAGAAGGAGCCAGGCTTGATTTATTGGGAATTCAGACAAGCAGTTTAGGCAGAAATCCACTATACAGCTCTGCCCCAGAAGAGAGGCAATCCACTGTGCATACATGTAGTTGGTTTTATTGGTGGTGCCCACCACTCAGCTCCCTAATAAATACACGGAGTCTTATTCTTATTTATGAATGCCCAGCCTCAGCTTAGTTTGTTTGTGGTCAGCTTTACTAATTGAACTTAAATTAACACATTTCTCGTCTTCCACACTTTGCCTCTGGACTTTTACCTTATTCTATGTCCTTTCATTTCCTTCTTACGCCATGGCTGGTTGTGTGGCTGGGTAGCTGGCCTCTGGCGTCCTCCTCTCCTTCTCCTTTTCTTGCTCCTCCCCCTTCTCCTGAGCATAGATTTCTCCTCCTATTTATACTCTCTGCCTGGTAGCTGCAACTATCCCTCTCCTGGCCATTCGGTTCTTTATTAGACCAATCGGGTGTTTTAGGCAGGCAAAGTAACACAGCTTCACAGAGTTAAACAAATGCAACATAAATGAGTACAACACATCTTTGCATCACTAAACAAATATTCCACAGCATAAACGAATGAAACACATATTAAACCAATAGTCCACAAAACATAGTGTCTGATCCTGTGCGGATCTGGTGCTGTGATGATCTGACTCTGAGGAGGATACTCTAACCTCAGAGACTAGTCTGCAGCTTTTCTCAGTGTCAGATACAATTTGAGAAATTTCCTGACCAGAGAAGTTAACTTCTGACTCACTGGACCAGACACTACTGCAATACCCATCCAGCTACTTTCGACAGTATTGTCACTAGACAGCAAAGACAGACCATACGATGACCAGACAAAGGCCCATCCAGGTAGAGAAGTCAATGTGAGCTCTGGCTCCTTGAGATTGTCACTATTTGATCCTTCCAGAATTACAGGATAGTATACAGAGGTGTAACTCTGAAAAAAAAAAAAAAACAAAACAAAAAAAAAAAAAAACAAAAAAAAAACCCACAATCACTTGAGAAAAACTGAAAGAAAAAGCTGAATTCTGAAATGCCTGGAAAACAAAGCATGGCCACAGGTATAAGGAGAGGTATAGTGGGCTTGCTCAAAAAAGGTACACAAAAAAACTTCCCTTCCTGTGGTAAGGGACAGATAACACACTAGGGAAAGTGACTAGCC